TAATGTCTATATATTACTATTCAATGATAGTTTGTTTTCTTTGATTTATATTTATTATTATTTACATTAATTCTCATTATCTCAGGTTATTTATTATTAAGGTATATGTATTTAAACCTGAAATACATTGCATGTTTATGTTGAAATCCTATATTCATAATTTAATAAATTTTCCAATACCTTTTCCATATGATGTTCTTCACCTTTAGTAAAATTTAACATTTCTTTAGCATTATGAATCAAAACCGTACCTTTTGTTTCGGTCTGTGTCAAATCCAAAGGACAAGTGAAGACAGCGATTTTTCCATTATTAACTTTACGTACAATTCCTTCTGGTTCACGACCAAATACCATACCCTTGACCACCCTACTCTCATGAATACTGCTACCCATAACTTTCACCACTCTAATATTATCAACATTGAAATTTTGAGGATTTTTTGGCATTACAAGATGTGCAGCTTCAATTACCAATGGTGTAAGTATATCTTCATTGCCATATTGTTTTGATGATATTGTAGTTTTGACAGCTTTTGATAATTCTTTTGGTGATTTCAAATCTTTTACAGATTCTATGCAAAACTCTAATATACAGTTTTGAATCAATAATTAATAATATGTATACAAGATGTGTTTTTACGAAAATAATATTATTTATATACGAATTACCTTGCAAGATCTCTGAAACTTTATCTCTAGCAATTTCATAACCTTGAATGATTTCACTTGGGTGTAAACCCATTCTTAATAAATATTCTGCTTTTTGAAGTAATTCTCCTGCCATAATCATTACAAAATTTGTAGCATCTCCTACCTGTGAATAAAAAGAGAGAAAGAAAGATGTTAATCAAAAACAAATATAATAGTATATGTGCGTATGTCTATAATTATAACGTAAAAGATGGTATGTATATATATTCAGAGTGGAGTGATTTGTGTAATAATTAAATCCACATTAATATAATAATATATTTGTCATTATTTAAAAACAAAGGTATTTAAAGAATTGGCTGATGCAGATATAAAAGTGGTAGTAACAGGATCATCAATCGGAGAATTGGCATTACATTATTTGAATCGTTTTAATATTATGGTGGTTAAAGTGTTATCAAAGTTTGATTTAAGAAGATTATGTAAAGTTTTAGATGCAAATGCATTGGCCAGATTAGGTGTTCCTACACCAGAAGAGATGGGTTATTGTGACATTGTAGAAACTGTTGAAATTGGTGGTGATAGAGTCACCGTTTTTAGACAAGGTAAAAAATTTATTATGAAAATAAATATTTGATTTATGTATTTATTTATATA